GCATTGTCCAGCACCGTGGAGCTGCTTGCAACTTGCATCGCTTGTTACAGTAGTGGGCGGAGTGACTCATGCCACCGCACACCGCGCATGGTCCGTACTGTGGGCGTCGGTTGTCGCGGTTGAAGTCACGTCGACCGCGTTGGTCCTGATTGAACCCACGGTCACTACTTCGGCGATCTTGATTAAAGCCATTCTCGCGATCAGGCACGTTTCCACGCGGTTGACGGTTGTCTGAACGTGCGTAGGTGCCTTCAGCAGCTGCACGACGTTCATTTTCGTTAGCAGCGGCGAGGTATCGGTCGTTTTCATCCAATGAGAAATCACCATCCGTATTATCGGGCTGAAAGTCGTTGTACTCGTCTTGGACATCGTTGTAAGCGTTCGGATCTTCGTTTGAATACTCGGTGCCTCCCTGAGCAGCTTCACGACCTTCTAATTCAGCTAGTAGGTCATCCACCGTGGCTTCAATGAGCGTCACTCTTGGTTTGTTTCGGTTGTCATCGCGACGGCGGTCATCACGCCGGTTGTTGCGGGCGAATCCAACGTCGCGTCGCGTATCACGACTCTTGGAGTATCGGTACTCACTGTCACGCTTGGCCATCCTCTCCTTGCCCTTGAGAACATCTTCGATGATCTCTTCGAGCTCGTTAATGTCGGCGACTCGAGCGTGGTAGAGACACTCCGCCAGCTTGTCATCATCGCATGTTGCCAGGAACTGCTGTACGTGTTCTTTCGCGTCGCGACCACTCTTCTCGAAGTGGAGACGGGCGGTCCGAGCATAGACATTCAGCCTGTTTATGTAGTCGCACAGATGTTCATTACGTTCCCGCTTGGGGGAGTAGTAACGCGGCAGTGCCGTCTGCGTGAACTGTGAGCAGTAGTAGCGGATGAACGCGTTGCTCAGCAGCTTTCACTTGCGCTTCGTCTTCTTCGGAAGTTGACGTAACCAATGAATGGCTCCGTCCCGGAGACTTAGCTCAAATGGAATGCACCATTTATCGGCATCTGTGTGGGTTCCAGTCATTTCATAGACGAACCCACGGAGCCACTGCATACAGTTCTCGCTCTTGTTGCGAGAGCCTGAGAACGGGCGTGATGCGATCCAGCGGTCAGTGCGAGGCCATTTCAATCCTCGGTGTTGGGTCCACGTCGTTCAGCGTCGCTAGCTCATTCATCTGACGCATCAACTCGAGTTGAGGATCTTCCTCGTCGAATGTACGCACCAAAATGTCATCGTCACTGGACGAACCATCGCTGTCGACTTGACGACGTCCGGCACCACCTTTGGGAGCTCGCACACCGCCTCGGCGACCGAACGAACCCTCGTTACTTGCGTAAATACGTTGCATACGGCTCTCCGAACGTGGCGTAACCATGTGCGAGTCTTGAAAGTACGGTGAAGCTTCGGTAGTGCCAAAGGCACCACGCTCAGCTCCACGCTTGGTCGGAGGAGTACGAACGAGTCGTTGGGGCGTCGGCGGCAATGGAATCTTGGACGGATCTTCATCTTGAATCATCGGTCGACTCACAGGTTGCTTTCCGACATTGATGCCAACGGCGCCAAACGCCTTCCGAAGCTTCTTCTTCCATTTCTGGAGAGCCGCTCCGGCTTCATGTGAACTCCAATCCTGGAGCGACATCGTCGATGGGTACGTCTCGTCCTCGAACCCCAGCGACAACAGTAGCGAAACTGAATCCTCGGCAACTTGGCTAGTCGAAACCGAGTTGACTGGGTATTGAAGTTCCTGCGCAAGCGAGAGGCCAGTCGGCTTTTTTTTTCTTGGGGGATGGGGCTGAACAGCTGCATCCACTCATCATTCTGCATCAGCGCTTGTACGCGGTCGAAACGCGCTTGGCGGCTGGTGTATCACCGTTGATAGGTGGGCGAGGTGCCTTCAGCAGTGCTGAAATGCTTTGCACTTGCCACCGAAGTTTTAGAACCCTTGGTCCCATCGTCATAATCATCGTAGGCTGGTTCTGGTCCCGCAACATCATCGAGCTCGTCGGCGAGGTTCCTCGAAAGGGACCTGGTCGCCCCGCTCAGCCCCGATGATAGCGTGGCCGTCTCCGGCGTCGCTGCGCCTGGCTCTGGAGCCGGCGTCTTGTCTTCGTAATCTTCATAATCGTGGGCGTCAGGACCGATGTCCGCTTCGTCGTCCAAGCTCACTGAAAGCTCGGTGGCGGCTGCAAAGCGCGCAGCCGGGCCTTGAACTCTCGTTGCGAGCCCCGCCAGACTTGGCAGGCGTAACTGGTACCGTCGGTTGTCCTTTCGCCATATTTTTTGTCTTTTATTTGTTCTTCTTCTCTTGGTAGCTCGTAAACTGGAAGGCCATACAAACAGTTCACAATGGTCACAATCTGTTCCCGGGTCGCGGCTGTTGGAAATCCCACGTGAACTCTAGCTACAGATGTAGTAGGATGTTCCCACACAATACGTCTACTAGGATAGTAAACGATCGTTCGGGCGACCTGAGACCTCAGTCTGCCCTTGCACCGGGACAGCTGGACCTGTAACTACTTATATAGGCCACCAGTAAATTAGAACACGCTACTAGCACGA